CATAGATAATAAAGAATGGATAGGCCATTCCTATACTTTTAACGTAAAGTGCCGCGATCCTAGAGAGCAGATATATTTTGTCTCATAAAAGTGCTTTATACCATAATGGTTACTGTGGTCAGCTGTGTGGTTAATAATCATTTTATAATCAATGATAATATTGTATTTATTATGAATGATAAAAATATTGTCATTTAGTTTAACGTTATTTACAAAACTAAATTTAAAAGGACAAATTTAAATTCAAATTTAAATATCTGTAAGATTTTATTTTTAAATTAATAATTAGATATTTGTTTTGATTAATAATGGTTTCACCGTTGGTTATATGTAAAGCAATGACAATCCAAAAACGGGCGACATGACTGTCATTCCATTTGTAGTATCATATCATTCACGAGCTTTTAATATTATTATCTATTATTTATTTAAGATAATTTATATTATTATAGGTTTCCAAAAGACGCTGCATTGCGACAAAATGGATGGACAGTCTAGGTCTGACTACTGTTTCTAACTGGCATCAGTTATGTTCAAAACATTCTGATGTAAATGTTTCAAAATATAAATGGTTACAAACGTAAACTAATGGTCTACTGCTGTACCAAGTTTATGCAACTATAATTCTAGACAATCAATATCGGTGTATACCTAAAACCACAAACATAGATGAAAATGTTGTAAGTAATGACCAGAAGAAAATATAGATCTATCTACCTCAATTAGAAATAGTAACGTAGAATTGCACACTCTGAGTACCAGAAATCTAACGTGAAAGCATTGGAAATAATAATGAAAATCAGAACATAACATAAGTTTATGGACACTACTTTCAACATAAAGGTAGTAACTATAATTTATGTTTTTAAGTTTTATTCTGTTATGATGTATTTTATTTTTAGTTTTTCTGATTGCTCATGACTGCAAGCTTGTACCAAAAGAAAATGGAATAGTACACGTGGTGACTGTCATTGAGAATTTTCAACTCCAAAGGCGAAGAGACATTTAAATGTTATCAAATGTACTGATATCATGTTTACGACGCAAATAGAATTGTTAACCAGAGACAAGGCTCCATCAAAAGTATCATTTACGGATTACTTAACGGTTAAAAATCTACTTTCAGAATGTTTCTGATAATTTAAGTACCTAAATTCAAGGGATTTCACTTTAAGAGTCCAGTGACAATTTTTAAAATTTCTCACTGAGCATCTAATGGTCTTATTGATCAAAGCTCAAGTTAGTAATTTTTTTTAGTTCAAGTTAAGTTTTTTTTAACATTGCAACTAATTAAGATGAGTATAACTACTTAAGTTCTAACTTATTAGTGCCCAGCTCTGTCGTTTATTAATTGAATAATATAATTAACAGTTGATTGGAATTAAAACAAATCTGAACCAAATTTTATGTTTGTAATATTAAATTGACCTAAAATTATATTTATTGATTTAACCTAGTAAATTAATTTACTATTATGTTATATATTATAAAAATTGTTATTTATTAGTATTACTGTGTAATTACCATATAAATAAATAAATAATAATAATTATTACAATCAAACCATAATTTGTTTTATTATTATAGGCATTAGGTTCTGATGTTTTAGAAAAGTTAGTTAAAAATGATTATCTGGGACTAAAAAGTTATTCAAAAGAACTAAAGCAGTTCTCAGTTACATTACAATACTATTCACCTAAGGATAGTTATAGTGAAAACTTTAATAATTTAGCTTACAATCTCGGACTTTATGGTAGATGGTGGACTATGGTAGTGAAATGGAGTCCAGGGTTGTTAGCAAAGGATCTTTTGAATCAATTTCTAAGATGCCAAAGACCGTTCTATTTGTTGTAATCTGTAATTGATGATGGATGCATACGCGACATGTAAAACGTAGATAGTCATGCGTAATAATGTTAGTTATTATTAATATGGGGCTATATTCATATGATAATGACAATACTGAGCAAAATGTTAGGTATTCCTTGTAGTTGGTATCAATTGGATACTGGAAAATGCCCATTGGGTTTATTTCTTGATTGATGGTTTAAATGGTAAGTGAACGGGCAAATTTACTAATGAAGTTATTGAACTTTATGAAACTGGTGTGATATTGTGCTCAGTTACTTTGATGGTAAAAGACTTAAGAATGTACAGAATAGGAGAGTTATTAAATCAAATCTTTAATAATCATAATCAAACCACTTACATATACTATAATTTGGTGAACAAGATAAATTGTTTGTTTTTATGATCCTGGCATATGTTAAAATTAATAATGAATGTTGAATAATGAGTTATTATAAAGAATTTTAAGGAGAAGAAATAAATTTGAATACATTAAGAAACCTTATGAACTGAGCAAAGAAGGTTGTCTAGAACTGGAACCATAAAAGACATACACTTTCAATGAAATTATGAATGTTAGATTGGCTGCACAAACCTTAGTAGTAGTGTAGCAGATGCATTGACCTACCTATCTCAAAATAATGATGAATTTATTAAGGCAGGACCGACATCAGAATTTATAAATATATTAATAATGCTTTGATATTCTCAATAGCAGAAACAAATTTTCTACAAACCTTATGGCAAATCAATATCAGATACAATACTATTTTATACAGATTTTTATTGACAAATCTATAACATACATAAAGGAATTTACAGCAATGCAACTGAACGAAGTAACAATTTGCTATCGCTTCCAGCGCTCATCGCGGTATTAGTACCGTCAGGTAATGTATAATACCTAATATAAGACTCGCCGCGATCGGGACTAACGCCTTATCGCATTATACTCTTATTGACCAACACGCGACCGACCGTACAACTACGGTCCTAATCAGTGCTATTACCTAAAATGCCTAATAATAAAAATAATAAAACTGTATCTCCACTCATTATCCAAAAGTCACGCATACAGAGCGTGCCAAATGATTCATCAGTTTTTTCATAAGAAACCAACTCCAACGACGATTGGAAAACTCAAAATAATCATAAACGTCAGTACTCCCCTAATCAATCACCGAAAGTAACTAAACAATTCGTAACGCCAAATCGCTTTTCTCTATTCAGTCCACCAAACCTCGACAATCAAAACAATGACTTTTCTGAAACCAAAGAAGTAGTATGTATTTGTATGTTCACAGCACTTTTGGGCAGGGAGATTTTAAAAGTTTAAGCGGGAATATCCCCCTTGAGCTCATTTTCGTCTCCGTGTAACACAAAAAAACAGATGTTTTTTTAAAACAGTTTATTTATATTGGTTACACTGTAATTTTAATCTTGTACTCAATTTTTTTTCGTTTAACACAAAAACAGTTTATTGGTCACACTACAATTTTAAATTTAAAGTTTTTTCAAACTTTAAAATTAATAATCTAATCTAGTTCAGTTTAGTTAGTGTTAAACCATCATTTGATCAAGACCTATTGCTTATTAAAAAGTTCTTTATTTTTACAAAAAATGAATTTTCAAAATTTTAGCAACAATTTTAGTTCACTAGTTTCTTTAGTACGAAATAATGCATATCCTAAATACCCAGAATATACAACATTTTCTTCAAGATTGAAAACATTCAACTTATTCCCGTTAACTTCATCTCAAGATAAATACTCATTAGCTGAAAGCGGTTTTAAATATTCAGGGAAAAAATATATTGTCGAATGTTTTTGCTGTGGACTCATCTTACATAATTGGGAAAAAGATGATATTCCATGGATTGAACACACAAGATGGAATCCAAAGTGTATATACGTATTATTATCAAAAGGAAATCAGTTTGTTGAAAATATAATAAATAAGTACGGAAAGATTAACGATGTATGTCAATGTGATTGTGAATTTAAGACAAATGATACCGTAATTTAATATTTTTTTCTATTAATATATTTTTTCTGTTTTTATAAGAAACAATTTAAATGTGTTAATATTTATCTTAATATTTCGTGAACGTATAGTCTAGTGGGATAACGCGTCTAGTTTAAATTAAATTTGTTAAGATTAATTTTCAGGTTCAATGGTATACGTAAGTAGATAAATAACCCTCGACACGCTATCCAAATAAACTATACGTTCACATTTTTTTCCGTTTTTTTCTTTTTTAACCTCTTCAGTTTTAGTATATAACATGTGTGAGCAAAAAAATACTGTTAGTTTAAGCTATACTGTCATAGTGTTTATATTCATTTTTTTTTTTTTTAAATAATCGTATAAATATTAATTTGAAAATCTTTTATAATTTCAAAGAACTTATCGTTATATAATATGAATCCACCAGTTGTTGTATCAAAATCAGTGTTCGATATCCGTCCTTTTGGAAAGAAAAGTGTAACAGTTTGACTTTTGATTAATAAACAGATTTCAATTATTATATTATTAGAATGTAAATTAACTAAAAAAATTGTTACGTTAGACCTAGATCAGTGGTGTACATTAATGTGTGAAAATAATTATAACGCAATTATTGATAATTTACATACCCGATGTAAACGTGTTAAAATACCTGACAACTTTTTCTATTCCGTTAATGTTAACCAATCGACTATTGTTTTATATTCTAATAATAATTATATAACATTATCTCACGTTGATTTACATCGTTTAAAACAATTACAACATTGTATCGACTTGTATATTGTTGAAAAACAAAAGAAGTTGGAATCATACCAAAAAACATTTGATACAGCATATGCGTTGATAAAGGCCGACGTCAATGGATTACCATCGTCTTGTCAACGAAATGAATTTACAAACCAATATATTCAAAATTATGATTTTAGTTATAGCAATATTCAAAGTGATGATATTTCATTCATGTACGAGTTGTTGCAATTTCATTTTAATTCATTATCAAATATGATTTTGCAAGATTTGGTAATGTAATAAAAATTAAAACCTTTAGATTTAATACTCATATTTTTTGTTTGCTAAAATTTTTTTATAAAAAATGTTGATTTTATAATTATTACTACATTTATACTGTATTCATATTTATTAAATTATATTAAACTTAATATATTTTTTGTTTTTTTTTTCAATTTTTAAATGTACTATTTTATTTTTCTTTAAATAAATAAAAAAAATGATAATTCTAGTTTTTTTATTATTATTTTTATTTACTGTCATCATGATTCATACATATATATAAATTATTTTGAAAAAACGTTTTGTATAATTTTTTTTTTTGGGTCTTTCATAAAACGATCAAAGGGCGTTTGAACAATTTCATTCAGCTCTCCTAAAACATTCTGATCTTTCGACTGGTCTGTTATCGCTAGTTTTAATGAACATTCTGCATGTTTCCACCTAAAATCACATAAATGTGTTCTATCATATTTTTACATTAATATACACTAACTTTATTTCAAAGTAAATACAAAGAAAAAAAATATTCATTTATATATATATATATATATTACCTGTCTTTAGCATCAATATGTTCAATGTTTTTTGTTTTATAATGTGCCAACGTCCAATAATCAGTATATTTTTCATCAGCAACCGATTTAATAGTTTTTGTTATCATCATCACTAGCATTTAAAACTTCTTCATCTTTATTAGAAATAATCGGAATATTTTTTTCTGACAATGTATTCAATGGTTTGAGTAAAGGTTTAAATGTATCACGAAAATAGTTATCAGAATCTATAACACCACGTCTCATATCCATTATTTTACGTCTGATTTTTTTTTTTCGATGACACTAAATTTTCTAACAAAACTTTTTCTTTATCCATTAGAAATAATAATTTAATATAACTGTTTCCTCCGACTTAAAACCATATTATGTAGATGTTAACTAAATTACAACTATATTTATATAATTATTTTATTTTTTAATGAAAGTATGAAAACCACATCTATATCTACCTTTATTGATTTCACGTGTTTTATCGATAACCATAAATCCGTAATCATTATGATTCCAGCATAAATGAGAAATTTTCCGAAATTCTGAGAAATCCATATCTGCCGATGAATGATCATTAAACAGTGGCACAATTATCGGGAGTGTTGGGTGTGCAATTCACAGGGGCCCCCGGTTTTTGGGGGCCCCGATTCCCGAGATCTCTTTTATGATATTTCTACTATAATCTATAGTATATAAATATCATTGTTTTAAATTTTTAATATAATATTATCTTTACTTTTTAGTCTTTTGAGTTTAGAGAGTTGAATTTTGAGTAATAATACCTATTACCTAGGTATGTAAGAAACCCGGAGAAACCTGGGTACCGTATGGGCGTACAGCCATACACAGTCATACAGTATGCCTTGGGTAGTGGGTATCAGCATTGATTTTAAAATATTTTAAAATCAATGGTATCAGTATGTGGGTATAGAGTCAATAGAGCAGTGGTTCTCAACCGGTGTGCCGCGAGAAATGTTATTAAATATTGAAAACAGTGTTTTATTTCGTGACATTTATTTTTAAAAATATAGCAGTATAATAATATTTAAAGAACTAAATTATTTAAAGTAAACAAAGGAATATTTATATCATAAAGTGAATAAATTTTAAATTACTAGTGTGAAACTTGAGCTTGTCGTTTCGTACATAAAAGTTCAATACGTGGTCGAATTGAAGACAAGCAGACACGCATTTCCTGATCAACGGAAAGAAGCCTCTCCCGTTTTTTGTTTTTTATGTTTGTAAGTGCCAAAAAGCCTAACTCACACAAGTAGGTGGTTGAAAAGTGTAACAAAATGTTGATTGCTTCATCTGCTATTACTGGATATTCTGTCTTTGCATACATCCAAAATCTAATTAGTGGTGATTCATTATATTTTAGTCGTAGTGTTCTATCCTCCTGAATTTCTGCCAACTGTTCTTCTTTCTTAAGAGATAGGTCAGCTGTTGATTCTGACGAAGTAGCGTAAGGATTGCGAACCCAATCATACTTATCAACTGAGATATGGGGAAAATACTGTGCCATGCTGTCCTCAAGATCTGTAAGGTGATTTAAAACTAGTTGAGCGGTTATGTCTCCCTGAGGATCTATATCAAAAGTTAAAGGAAACATATTTAAACTTTTATTTTCTACATGCCGTTTCCAAACTTGTAGTTTCTTTAAGAACCCTTTTAATTTATCACTTGAGGTCAGGACATTTTCTTCTTTTCCTTGCATACTTTCATTTAAGCAGTTTAAATGATAAAATATATCAGCCAAGTAAGCTACTTTGGCACACCACTCTGTGTCGTTCAAATACGCAACAAAGTCTGGTTTTTCAGTGCTAAAAAGTTTTGACAGCTCGTTTTTAAGCTCATAAAATCTCTGCAGGACTTAACCTTTCGACAACCAGCGTATCTTTGTATGAAGAACCAGAGTATCATGCTTAGATCCCGCTTCATGACACATTTCTTTGAGAAGTCTTGTCTTAAGAGCCCTCGATTTAACGAAATTTACTATGTTTACAACTAGGTTCAAAACACTTTTCAATTCTGCAGGAATAGTTTTCACCATTAAGGCCTCGCAGTATATAAAACAATGTGTTGAGCCCACATTCGGATCATGTTGTTTAACTTTAGCAACAAATCCTTTGAATTTTCCTGTCATAGCAGGTGCACCGTCAGTACAAACAGAAAGACAGTTTTTCCAAGATAGCCCATTGTCTGTTAAAGCAGGGGTTTTCAACCTGTGCGTCGCGGCTCCCAGAGGCGTCGCCGGTTGTTATCAAGGGAGCCGCGTTCGCAATAGAAACTAAAAATAAAATTTACGCGCACCAATACATATAACATGTTGCACGTGTGAGACAGATCTTATGTGAAACGGGTTTTTCGGCCTTAGCAGTAATCAAAAGTAAATACAGAGGTAAACTAAATACCGAAAAGGAAATGAGAATCGCACTATCAAAATTTACCCCACGATTTGATGATATAATGCAACAAAAACAAGCACAGCCGTCCCATTAAAAATTAAAATTATTATTAATGTATTAATTTTTTAATTGTATGTAAAAAATAAATCTCAAAAAAATATTTCCTATTATTAATACCTAATTACATGTTTATCATTAAATAAAGTTAGATTAAAATTATTTTTAATAATGTAAATTTGTTTATTTTAAATGTTCGTATGGGAGCCGTATATTTTATTTCAAAATCAAAAGGAGCCGTGGACCCAAAAAGGTTGACAACCACTGTGTTAAAGTATTGGATATTGAATCATACACGTCTGCTCCAGTTGACGTTGTGGGTAGTTCAGAACATGCCAGAAATTGTTCGATAACTGAATCATCATCAATGAATCTGATATAGTTTAGTAATTGGCATTTCTTACTTATATCAGTTGACTCATCGAGCTGTAGTGCAAATAATCTACTGTCACTTAACTTTTCACGCACATGGCATTGGATGTCTGAAGACATGTCATCAATACGCCTTGATACTGTATCGTTTGACAATGAAACCAAAGATATTTCCTTCTCTGTCACCCAGCATAGATTTAAGTATTTCTTTGCAGGCCGGTAAAATGACGTCTTCTGCGATAGTGTGAGGCTGCATTCGTTTGGCTACTATTTCAGAAACTTTATAACTGGCCAATAGTGCTTTCTCACTAATAGTAGCTCTACGTACCATGGTTTTTTGCCTGTTTTTCTTCCGATGACAACAGTCGACTGAAGTAATTTTTATCTTTTCCAAGTAGATGGCTATGTTTACTACTTAAATGCCTTTTCAGTTTACTAGGGACCATGGATTCGTTGCTGAGTTTTTCTCCACACACGATACATTGAGGTACAGGATGGTTTTCAGGACCATTAAATGTAAAACCAAAGCTCAAATAATTATCAAGGTACTTACGGACTAAAATAGAAGAAGGTTGTTTGTTTTCCTGCATCACTTTACTTACAACACTTGTACTTGCAACAGGATCATCCTCCTTTTCGATGCTACTATTCAATGGTACACCATCTTCAAGTTTTCTTTTTTTTACTATAAATTTATCCATATTACAATAAAAACTACGCACTAAAAAATTTTTTAAACTTAAATTTACGTGTACGTTTACGTCGTCTACGGCCAACACACGTTCAGTTAAAACTGTGCGATCCGACTGCACAGTTTTATCTGTACAGATAAATCGCACGTGTGTAGGTTAATGCGACGTAATTTTTAAAACTGTGCAGTTGATCGGAAATAAATTGAAAATACCAATTGATAAAACTGTGGCAATTAAACTGTGCAGATAAGACAATGTGTGTGTAGACAAACGTCAACTGCACAGTTTTTAGTTTCGCTACAGTCACGTGAAAGTAGACTCAACCTCACGAGTAGTTCAAACTTTATTATAAAATATATTAATTAACAACTTATTTTGTCTTTGCCATTTAAACTATGGCAACAAAACTTCGAGAGTGGACCGAAGAATTTATAGATATTTATCGTTCTGAACCGTGTCTTTGGAAAGTTAAACAAAAAGAATACCACGATCGAAACAAAAAAGATGCCGCGTATTCAAAATTAATATTAAAATTACGTGAAATAGAACCTGACGCGAATAAGGAATCAGTCATAAGAAAAATAAATAATTTGCGTTGTACCTACAAAAAAGAATTAAAAAAAGTAATGATATCAAAATCTGGATCAGGTTCAGAAGATATGTATGAACCAAAGTTATGGTATTTCCCATTAATGACATTTTTAAATGATCAAGATATACCAAGGCCTTCACGCTCTAATTTGGACACCGACAATGATGAGATAAGAAAATTAAGTAAATATTATTTATAGACATTTGAAATTTTCCGTTTTTTTAGTTTTTTATTCTATAAATGTCAATAAAATTTTATTCGTTGGGTCAAAAAACTTGAAAATTTAATACAAGGTTCTCCATAAGTTACTATAATAGCAGATAGGTTCTTCTTCTCTACAGAAAATTACAATTCAATTACATAATAAATAATAATTATTATAATTATACATAATGATATTATTTATAAAACTTTTAAATTAGTAATAATAAGTAACAGTTATATTTATGATAACTTATTTATAAAACGTATACAAATTAAATAAAGTAATTTTGCCACGGAACGCTTCCTTCGTTATTAAAATAGTTCATAAATTCTTCTTTGATCATTTTCGATGTTTTGGCTATATTTCTAGGATTTTTTGCATCTAAAGGTTCCATGGCAGAATTGCTTGAGTCATATCCTTCTAAGGTGGTTCCATTATCTATTTGTTCACGATCAAAACCATCAGTTGGTGCATATAAGTTCGGTACTTTTTTGATTAAGTAATTATGTAACACACAAGATTCCATGACGATTGACTCAATTTTTTTTGGATTTAAATTAATGTTTGTGTGAAAAATTCTAAATCGCGTGCCAAAATTCCGAAAGCGTTCTCTACGATTCTCCTTGCTCGTGATACACGATAGTTGTATATTTTTTTTTTCAGAAGACGTCAAATCGGCTTGTCTGAATGGTTTCATTATGTCCGATCTTAACTGAAATGCGTCATCAGCAACAAAAACGTATGGTAAATGTCTTGAACTATTCGTGACAAGTTCTTCAGCTGGAATGTTAAGCTCATTATTTTGTAACATTTGAAAGAATTTTGTGTTTTGTAATACCCCTGCATCCGAAACTCTACCATTAGTTCCAAAATCACACAAAATAAACTGATATTGTGCATCAACTATAACCATTAAAACCATACTGTGATGTTTTTTATAATTATAATACTCCGAACCACTTCCCATTGGTGCAGTTATAGCCACATGTTTTCTATCTATTGCTCCAAGTAGATGAGGAAAGTTCCATTTTTCTTCAAATAACAACGATATATTTTTCCATTCATTGAATGTTCGTGGAAACTAAAGTAAAAAAATATTGTTTCAGATTAATCTGGAAAAATTATCAGAAACAGCAATAGAATCAAATGAGGACCCTTCTTCTGAAGATCTACCTACATCTACTCCCACAAGTACTACTTCTACAGATACTACTTGCACTAAATCTCAATCTACAAGACCATTAAAAAGAAATTCTGAAGCAGCTTTAACAAAAGATGTTTTGTTAACCGTACAGAATCACTTTAAACGTCCAGCATCTCAAGATGATCGATATGACATTTTCGGTAAAGGGGTAAACTTCAAGGGGTACTGAAACTTCGAGACTTAGACAAAACACAAGCATTGTTTGCTGAAAAAATTATCAACGAAGCTTTGTTCTTAGGCGAAATGGGGAACTTAACAATATCACATAAGGTAATGACTCCAACAACAACGCCATTTGATGAAGTTTATTCTCGCTCATCAACACCTTTGTCTAGTTCTTCCACATCAAACCATTCTGACATACCTCAGAATTCAACTAATTATTCACTTCCATTACATCGTATTTATCCTAGTACTGTAGCTGGATATAATGAATCATCTATTATTCAACCAGTTCATTTATCTTGTCCAACTACTATGTACCAAACTAATAACCAACTGCAGGATACTCAAGAAGGAGTTTTGTTGCCACAACCGAATTCAGCCGAAACCGCATCTTCATATTTATCTCACTTTGATAGCAGTAATATTTAATCGATGTGTCCATGCATTCTATGTATAAATGTTATGTATATGACTATTATCTAATTATGTTTTATCTTAAATTATGTTAATAAAAAACCAGTAACTTAATAAAACTCTATAATAAAATCGCAGTTTTATTAAGTACATACCTTTAGATACTCCTCGTGTAGAACTGTGTATATTGCTTCACATGTTTCTGGTATAATAGTAGACAGTGATTGTGGTGATATAATTGTAAAATATTTTAGACATTCATAGGTTCTTCCGGTCGCTGTCAATCTTTCATGAGGTGATATAGCATCCCTCATTACAGTATTTTGTTTTTGGATAAGTGGTGTTACTAAAGAAAGAAGGTGCAGATAGGTATTTTCATTCATTCGCAAATAATTATTAAAATCTTTTGGAGTAATTCTCAATTCATTTAACAAATTTGTATGCGAATATTTATTTCTTTTTAGTAACCATTCTTTACACCATAAGTTACGTTTTTTACGTTTTTTATTTTTTAAAATACACATTAGTCCGAGAATTGCAACAGTATCATCTGTCGTCGCCATAGCTGGACTATTAACGATTTATTCTGATTGTACCGTCAAATCGCTCAGTTTTAACTGAAGGTGTGTGTTTTAGCCATTAAAACGATTTATCCTATAAATAAAACTATGCAGTCGGATCGCACAGTTTTAACTGAACGTGTGTGGCCCCCTTTAGTTTTTAGAACTGTACAGTTTTACGGAAATAAATTAAAATTATCAATTGACCAATTGTGTGCTAATTGTGCAGATAAGACGATACCGGATACACATGTATAGGCGCGTAGCGATAACTAATGCCTTCGGCGAATTTGTCGAAGTTGTTGTGGTTGTCAAGTGCGTGAGTGTGCCGTGAAAACTTATGATGTATAATAGTGTGCCGTGAACTAAAAAAGGTTGAGAACCACTGCAATAGAGTATTAAAATTTCTTATCAGTCATGACAATTTATGTACGCCTGTCGATAATAAGATATAAAAACCTATCTATTTATAGAATGCTTGTATAGTTGTATTGAGAACTGACAATAATATTAGATATTAAGATAGATAATATTTTTATTATTATAGGATTAGTATATTACTTATTGCCTATTGAGTATTGGTTATAACTTATAGCAATTTATAGCTGCCTTGCTGTCTACATGTCTTTAGTTTTAGTTAGTTGAAAACATTTGAAGTTTTCATTTATTTTTTTACATTACTTAATTGGTTTTTTCTGAGTAAAAACTAAATGGCTTCAAGGCAATATTTGAGTAGGGCTCAAAAACGAAAATTCAAATTCAAAAAAGATGAAGAACTTAAAAAATTAAAAGGGTCATTAAATAATTTTATAAAACCACAATTACCTGATTCAGAAACATCTCATGAAAATCTAAACACTAAATCTGTCAAAGGGATGTTTTAAATAATAATAATTAATTTGTAGCAGTTATTGTAGAAGCGCTATGTAGGTAACCATCATACTCATACAACATTACTCGTTGAGACTGTTTTCTGTAAATACAATTTTTTGTTTTTTTGAGTTTAATTTTAAAATAAAGTAATAAAATATAATAAATAAGCATAATTTAAAATTATATTTTTTGTATAGAAGTCATGTATGGTTGTAATATTGCTGGCGACACAGATAATAATAAAACCAATTGTGTATGTGAATCAATTGAATCTGTTGTTCAAGTTGTTTATACTGATGTAGTTAATATTACTGATGTTGAACAAATAGCTAATGCAAGAGTCAATGGTAAATTAAATTAAATTATTTAATACAACAATATAACATTTTGATTTTTTATATTATAAAATTGAATTTAAAGAATGAATATCCAACTGATAGAGTTCATTTTAATGAAAATATCAATGATAGTAATATTAAAAGATCTATTTTAGCTTATGGGCTCTGTCGACCAAATATAGCTTTTCCTAGTAGTCTACATGAAGATGGTAATACCTATAAATTCTCTTCCTACTTTTACTCAATGACATTAAAATCTGGTATAAAAGTTCAGAGATTTTGGTTGTGTTACTCGGTTGGATTGAATGTAGCTTACTGTGAAACATGTTGGTTATTTGCCAACCGACAATATTCTTATTATAATACTGCATGGATTAATGGAGTTGATGACTGGAGACATTTAACATTTAAAATTGATAAGCATGAGAAATCCATTCAACATATTGATGCTGGGAAGATTCGTTATAACTGGGAAAAAATTTTTACAATTGACAAAGTTACAGAAAAACAATATTCAGATGAAGCTACCTATTGGAGAGCAGCACTAACACGAATAATTAAAGTGATTTTATCGTTAACAGCTGGGAACACAGCACTCAGAGGACATGAGCATAAAAATAATGATGGCTTAACTACAAGTGAAGGTAAATAAATTAACTTAAATAGTTAGTATTTAAATAGTATTATATTGGTAATTTGGACATATAGGTGAAATATATTATGAATGTAAAAATATTGTAATTAGTAATGTATTTTAAAACAAAAGTAAGTACATAATTATTCTATTTTATTACTATAGGAAATTTTATGAGGACCATAAAGCTTTTATCAGGGTTTGATCCAATAATGAATAATTTGTTAAATGATGAAAAAAAAAAATTAAGTACCTCAGTTGGCAAGTGCAAAATGAAATAATTGAAATATTAGCTACAAGTACACAAAGATTACTCTGTAAGGAAATACAAAATGCCCAGTGTTTTTCAATCATCATGGATTCTACACAAGACATTAATAAAATTTACCAAGTTAGTGTTGTGATTAGATATGTAGTGCTTAACTATGAATTGAGAACATTAAAAATTGAAGAGTCATTTATGGGTTTTTTTTGCAATTGATCAACATGGAGCCGAAAATTATGAAAAATTATTGACTGATGTTTTATTGAAATTGGAACTGGATGTCAAAAAGTGTAAAGGACAAGGATACGATGGAGCAGCTGTGATTAGTGGCATTTATTCTGGAGTACAGAAAAGAATTAAAGATATAGTTCCGAATGCATTTTATGTTTACTGCTGCTCACATAACCTGAATTTAGTTATAACAGATGCGGTTAAGACTACTGAAAAAGCTTTACATTTCTTTAATACAATTCAGGCAATATTTGTATTTTTTAGTTCCAGTGCCCCCAGATGGTCAACCCTTGCAATTGGAGAAGATGTATCTAGTAAAATTAAACAAAAGGTATTGAAATAAGTTTGTCCAATTCGTTAGGAATCTCGACATAAGTCAATATATGCTTTAAAAGTAAGATTTAAAGATGTTTTGAAATCCTTATCAAATATATCTTTAACAAGTCAAAAAAAAGATGAAAGGTTTGCTAGTATGTGTTTAAAAAAAAAAATGGAGTCAATGGAGTTTGTTTTTTTATTGTGCCTGTGGGAAAATATTTTAAAACCATTACATGGTATATCAAAATCTACGCAAAAAAAAAAAAACACAAATTTATTTAATGCTTGCAAAAATTTAGAAGAGGCTACTAATTTTATTACAAGATTAAGATGTGACTATGAAAATGTATTATTAACAACCAAAAACTTATGTAAAAGTTGGGACATTACAACGAATTTTCGAACAGAACGAACAAGGTTTGTAATCAAACATTTTGATGAGATTGATGGAGATCGACGACTAAATATTACGGAAGAAAATTAAAAAATTAAATTATTTTTACCAATTATAGATACAGTATTATTTCGAATAAATTCAAGATTTGAAGGCTTGAAAAAAGTTAATGACCATTTCCATTTTCTATATCCATCTATATTAGTTGAAAGTAAAGAAGAAGAAATAGTCAAAGCTTCTTATGATTTTGTACAGTTATATCATGATGACAAAGTCCAGATTTTACGCGTCAATTATTATCCATAAAAGAATTGTTTGCAAAGATTTCAGGAATAAAATATATTAAAAGATTTGGCCATATTTATTTTAGAAAATGATTTTAGCACTACATATAGTGATGTATTAAGTGCATGTCTTATATATTTAATGTTACCCGTAACAGTTGCTTCGACAGAGAGATCTTTCTCAAAATTAAAATTGATAAAAGAATTACCTGCGAAACTCAATTGGCCAAGATCGCCTTTCCAACATCAGTATATTAAACATCGAAAAAGAAAAAACAGCTGACTTGGATACAAACAAAATAATAAATGACTTTGCTACTGTAAAAACAAGAAAAATTAATTTTTATACTTGATTTTATAAAAAAAATTATGTAACTTTATAATAATTATGTGACATATTGACATGTGAGAAAACAATAATTTTAGAATTATAATATAATAAGGTACTTATATCGTTTATGACTATTTTTTTTTTTTTTTTTTTAGCAGGGAAGGGCCCCAATCTAGATATTTTCACATGGGCCCCTTACTACCAAGTTGCGCCACTGTCATTAAATATATGACCGTAAATTTGTATCATCCTGTTTTAGTATTATTAAAAAGTTTGAGTTATCTCTCACCAATTGTTTTGGAATTTTAGAATATGTTTGTGCTAAATAAAATACAGAGCTAGCACCTGAGCCTACCCATACTGAAATAATCTCTTATAATCGATTGCGGGCCACATGATACATCATCGAATATAATGATAGAATTTTTTTTGTTAGATTTAGTTTTATAACTTTGTCAGTGTCTGTGAATAAAAAAAGGTTAGCACTCTTTATATCATCTATTATTTTTTTTAATAAAATATATTTTTCCTGATTAGAAGTTTTAGAGTATAAATAAATATTCTCAAATCTTAAACCGTTTTCATGTGTGATTAGGTTATACATTATATTTGTTTTACCCGAACCACTAGGACCAACTATAATAGCACGTATAGTTTCGGGTAATAACGGACCGTGGTGTCTTGACAATTTTTTATAACTTGAGTATCAACATTTAAAATATCTAATTTATCTTTCTGTTCAATCAAATTCATTTTCTTATAAATACTCTAGAATTTATAATTTATTATCAGTTATTGATGACGCGTTCAACTCTTAAGTGGAAATCGGATAAGACTGGTAAAGGTTTTATAAACTCTCTTATAAATAGTCTTCCGTTTGAAGCTCACATTCCTGGTTATCAGTTTTGTGGTCCTGGTACGAAATTAGAAAAGCGAATAGATCGTGGTGATTAAGGAATAAACCCATCAGATAACGCTTGTCGCGATCACGACTTAGTGTACGCGAAAAGTAAAAATTTAGTTGAAAGGCATAAAACTGATAAAGTGTTAGAAAATCGTTCTTGGGAAAGATTTAAAGCTAAAGACACTCCTCGAAAAGAGAAAATTGTTGCCTACTTGGTAACAAATGCGATGAAGGCTAAACAAAAAATGGGGATGGGTTATAAAAGTAGACAAAAACAAGCCAGAAAAAAAAATAGTTCATTAGCAGCGAAAAAAAGAAGCAAGGTTAAGAAAAATTATAGTGGTAAAAGACAGATTTTGATACCGGGTCAGACAGGAGGTGCGATTCCCTTAGTACCTATTTTTGCAGGATTATCAGCACTTGGTAGTTTACTGTCTGGAAGTGCTAGTGTGTATAATGCAATACAAAATTCAAAAAGAAAAAAAAGGTAGTGGATTATATCTGAAGAATAATAGGTTAAGAAAAAAAAACTGATGAATACGCTGCCTAATAGACCACTTTCATCTCAAGATATTATAAAATATGTTGGAGGGTTTAATATTAGTCATTTCCGTGGAATCTTTTCACGTAACGACTTACCTAAAAAACCGCTTAAAATTGAATGTGGAATATTAAACTTGGATATATCTTCAGGCGATGGAAGTCATTGGGTAGCGTTTTATAAAAATAAGGATAAAGTTACATACTTTGAGAGCTTTGGTGATTTACCTCCACCAATTGAATTACAAAAATATTTTAAAGGAAACAAAATCATATATAACTATTCAAATTATCAGAATTATAATTAATTTATCTGTGGACAATTATGTCTTAAATTTTTACAATGTATGAATCAATCACTCTAAGTTTAACCAGGAATGATACTACATTGACTACAAATTATTTTCCGTCTTTAAACGTTAATGAAGACTCAGTAATAGCTTTATTATGTTTACAAACGTTTAATTCATTTCCAAACATAATTTCAACAAATAATAGGATAGACATAGAGTTTTATGATTATTATTTTTCATTAAATTTTCCGAGAGGATATTATAACATTGCAGATATTAGCAATAAAATTAAACAACCGATTTTAGACTTCAATAAAGAGTATCGTATTGATTTAACATTAGATGTAAGTCTTGATCCTATCGATTTTAGATTGGTTATAAAATGTAACGGAACACTTAACTTTACGGATCCAAACAGTATAGGCTCTGTATTAGGGTTTGGAAACCGAAAATATTATGGATCTTATTATAATATTTATCATTCGGAAAAAGCTGTGAATTTAATCACAATTAACTGTATAAAAGTGACGTGTAATATTGCTCAAGGATCATTCAGTAATCAAATTGGAACAAAAGTGGTTCAATCACCACCAAAACTTATATATTATAAATTGAACAAAACAAATATTGATTCAATAACTATTCAATTAGTTGATCAAGATTTAAATCAAATCGATAATTTTTGTGAGACATTAACAATTGTACTACATATTAAACGTTACGGATCTTGACATGGGATTAAAATTTAATATAAGCCCATTACTTCAGGTTAGACTAGCTAGTCATTCGACTAAAGTGTTACCGTCAACATCAAGTAAAGTTAAAAAATTGACAGTGAAAAATAAAAACATTTTAAAAGCGTTAGGTTATAAATTGAAACAGAATGCCTGAAAGCGATATTTTGGATATAAGTTTGAGGTTTGAAACAGATTCTAAAATTACGAAAATTGAATATCATTCATATACACCTTATACGACTTCATTTAATAATAATGATGAAATACGAATATCAATCCAGCAAACAGATGTTTATCCGTATTTGCATGAGAGTTTATTTGTTTAGTAGGTAAAATATCAGAAGCTAGTGAAGTAAAACTTGCTAATAACGGTTTTTCACATCTCTTTGAACAAATACGACTTGAAATCAATGGAATAAAAGTAGATAGTACTCGAGTACTAGGTATAACCAGCTCGTTGAAAGGTTATCATGTACACCAGATAACTATAACTGTTATGAAAATGCAGGTTGGATTTTTAAAAATAATACAAAGCCCGCAAACGCAAATGGTGAATTTAGTGCTTGCATTCCACTGAAATATTGGTTAGGTTTGTTCGAAGACTTTAAAAAAATATTAGTTAATTCTAGATTAGAACTAATATTAACTCGAAGTCATAGTGATCTGAATGTTTTAACAAAAGCTGAACAAGATGGAAGTGTTAATTCTGGAAAAGTCGTTTTGAATAAAATAGTTTGGAAGGATAACGAAGAAAGATTGAAATTATTAAAACTTATAGAAAAAGAAAAAAGTTTGTTTATCCCGTTCAGGTCTTTTGAAACTTTCGAATACCCTGAACTTGGAACCACTAAAAAAGTTATATGAAACTTGAAAACTGCTTCAAAATTAGAAAAACCTCGATTTATTATAATCGGATTGCAGAAGGGACATAAAAATGTTTTAACAAAAGATTGTAGTGTATTTGATCATTGTAATTTAACAAAC